TGATACGGATTGCCGTGTAGACATTTAAGAGAAGAAAGATTGTCGGCACAGCAGCCCTGATGCTTGCTTCTGAGAGCAGCTGGCTTTCTTGAACAGTTCGGGCTGCTTATTTCCGCTGGATGGAAACTGGAGCTGCAAACAGATTGGGTGCAGTCCGGCATGCAAGCGGTATTACTCACCTGTCCATGTAAGAACGGCTGCCCGGATCTTGCACGTTTGCCGGTGTAATCGGCTGCTGGCTGATAAACCTTGCCATGCCGGTGACTGCTTGATCGCCCGAACGCTGGTGGTGTTTGAACATGTCAGGCTGCACGATCGCTCCTGCTGTGCGAATGGTTCCCTGTGCCGGCGAGCCAAAAAGCTTCAACCTGATCTACTGTATCACACACCAAGCCTAAATGCCGAATTGAATCCCAAACATCCCCAACCGTCATGCTCTCCCTACCAGAAGCGTGTGTTCGGTTAAAGACAAATTAGAATGCAGAGCTGCGCGGGCCTTTGAGGATTGTTCATGACGGAAAGCGCCCCGCGGCGGCTTGGTTGCTGGGGGGTCAGCCTGAAAGTAAAGGCGAGGGTGGCGGGCGGGGTGGTGGGGCGGCCGCTCTGATCTGCAGTATTGCGGCGGGTCCCCGGTGGACATCATTGCGGTTGTGCTTGCTTCCGGGGCCGCTGTAGAGGTCCCTGGTGCTGAATGGCGTGTGACATTCGGAGCGTAGACGGGTCTTATCGGTTCTTATACTGTTTTTCCCATTGACTCCAATATCTCTTAATTAAGGAATATTCCTTAAATCATATTCGGGATCCTACTCTAATTTAAGGTATATTCCTAAAGTATAAGGGATGTTGGAGTCTCTGTTTTCGGCGTTTTGGAGACCTCGCGGGCTGCCGGCTGCGAGCATCATTGGCTGTTCGTTTTCCGTCCCGCCGACCACCCCCGCATCATGAGCACCACTGAGGGTCTTGATTTTCATAAGTTTTGCAAGGGGGGCGCATTAAGAAATTGTTGGAGCTTGCTTCGGCTTGATATTGAATGCCGCATTGCAGCTTTGTCACAAGAACGGGGACAAGCTCCGCCAGAAGCGGGCAATGGAAAAACCACTGCGGGGTTGGCGCCTAGCCCACACGCCCCTGGCGATTTCCTCAAGCTCTCCCTCCCAGCGCCGCGGGCCTGCAAGCCTCCAGGTTCTGCTCTGCGCGCCTTCCTACATCAGCCCTGAAGTTTGGGGACGCGCGTTGCGGTGTTTGCCAAGGTGGTTTGTGACCGCTGGGCCATCCCCGTCCAAAGCGAATTTGCAGAACAGTGGCCCTGAACCCTGTAGTTAAGCCTAAAACCCCCAACCCTACTAACACACAACACGCTAAACCCAAAGCCCTAAAACGATTGTGAATTGCAAACCGTATAGTGCTAAATGTCTAAGCTACCGCTAACTGCGTCCGGGCCCAGGATCTGGGTTGTTGTAACGTGTTTTTTGAGCTTGATATAGTGTCTTTAAAGGGGTTTCTAGGGTTTACAGGGGCTGAATTAAAGCACCAGGAGACTTAGCAAGATTACACCGAGAACTCCAATTACCGTAACTGTGGCTCGTAGCTTCTGCGCTTGTTGAAGCCAATAGGCTCTAGTCCAATTTAAGTCATCCGAACTTTCTGGCAGGGACGTTGAATGTGCGCTGCTACCTCATGTTCTAAATCCTGACCCAAACCTTATACCGAAAAGTCGCGCATTTCCCAAACTCGAAAGCCCTGAGATTCTGCAACATCAAGCAGGCCCAAATGCCTTGAACGGTACAAGCAAACCCCGCAACCCTCTCCAAAGGGTGCCGTGCTGGCGCTTTGCCGCGAAGCGCTGCTGAGGCGTCGGACGGTTCAGGAAGCTTTGCTGAAGGCATCGTCTTGTTCCACATGCATCAAGAGTCTGAGTGTCTGTCCAGAGGCTTTCCCAGAACGAATCGCAGGGCTGCAGAATCAGATGGAAGGAAACCGATTTTCGAAAAGGTTGTCCATCAGTTCATCATCCTCGAAGTTTCCCGAACCCTAAGCTCTAAACTTTAAAAGCTCGCTCCTCCTCAGCGATCCAGGCTTGACCTGCGCAGTCACACAGCGCGCGGATGCCCAGGGAAGTTTGCCAGACGTTTCAAACTTCTGCCTTCATAGAGTTTACAGGGCTCATGGGTTTAGGGTTCCGGATTCGGGATCGAAGGGCAAGCTGTGCGGAGGAGGCGTGAGCGTGGTGCAGCCGCACGTAAACGATCGGGGAAAATGTTTCCAAGAAATCTTCAGGCCCAAATGCATGATCATAATACTAGACTTACCGTATGCTGGGACACCGTTTCCACATCTTGTGTGCATGTCTGAGCCGGCAGTCAGATAGCAAGACAGTAAACCCTGCAGGCTACGGCTAAGATTGCTGGGGGGCAATGTGTCTTCATCCCATAAGCTTCGTAGCGTAACCAGGACGCACCCCCGACTTGGCGTGGTGGACCATGTCGCTTGCAACCCCCTTGGAGCTGCGACTTGCGATGAGGCCTTGGGGGTTCCATTCCGTGTGGTTGAAAATTGAAGGTTTAGGGTTCAGGCTAGAGTGTTTCTTGGTGAGCACATTGTCTGTCTTTGTTATTTGCACGTCTCTCTGCCTGCACGAAGCAGATGATTCATGTTTATGCGTTGGCAGATCGATCTACCTAGAAGCATGCACCTCTGACATATACACCGAAATTGTCCGAATATGCCGTACGCCGGACACAGGACAAGTTTTGAGCATTGCCCGAGTAGCCGAACGTATGCTGTCCACACCCGTCTACCTAGTAAAGGTTGAACCCGATTCAGAGTTTAGGAGTTTGCTGAGCCCGGAAAGCTCACTGCAGATTCTACTTACACTGAGGCTGCTGTTCGTTGCATTCTCAGCCGCAGGCTTAAGCCAATCTCAGGAAGAGAAGAACATGGGTGGCAGCCCTGAGCGACAAAGCCAAACAAGCCGCAGATCCCACAGCCTTGCCTCAACCTTAAACCATGAATACCATAATTAAGCCCTAAATGCTAAAACATCCGAAAACACTACAGCCCTACCTGAGCCCGAAAAGCCTCCTCTAATTATGTGGGCCAGCAAGCTCCGCTTGACTCCATCTCCAGGCTGCTCCTCCCTTGTGGTTTTGGGGTTTATTGCATGGGACTTCGGGTTTAGGATCGGGAGGGTGTCGGGTTTCCGGGACCTCCGGCAAGACATCAATCTTCGAGTCCCGAGCGATGTGTCCGCCTGTGCCCATCGCGCGGCAGCTGCCTGCTGGTGGCTGCAGGCCCGGAGTTTTTGCAGAGACGGTGTGGGGATTATCAGGACCCCAAAATAAGCTACGCCTGATTTTCGGAAACTCCCATATAAAAGCTCGTACATTCGAGTCACAAGAGATTCAACATCTGGAATTATGGTAGCCTTTTGAAGGGTTTTCGATGTTATACAATGTCTACCCCTACTATAGGGGCCTAATTAGAATAGGGTTTTGGGGCCCATTATACTATATACAAAATAAGGAACTCCCAAAATAGTATGGGTATTTATTTAGGCCCCTACATTACTTATATTATCCTCACTTACTGGCTCCGGTTGGTCCGCCAAGTAAACCCTTCCCAGACCCCCCGGGAGGATCCAAAAAGTCGATCCCTTCATGGGGGATGCAGACAAAGACAGAGAGAGAGAGAGAGAGAGAGAGAGAGAGAGAGAGAGCGAGGTGTGGAGTCGGGTGGCAGGGTGCCGCAATTGTTTGTTTGGGCTGTGTATCGTTGTCGGTTCTCGACAGAGACAGTTCTCATCACTGGAAATTTCCCGGTTAGGTCCGAGAAGACATACGAAAGTCGCATTCGCTAGTGGGCTGTTCTTTCTTCTTGTGTTGGGGTTCAGTTTCGTGTTCGGGATGTCGTGGAGTGTTGCATCCAGGGATGCTCAAGGAAGCTTCCCTGGTCTACAGCTCTGGGGGGCGAGGATAACAAACGGGTGTAGCCATGTCTTGGGAGTGGACATCAAGGAAATTCAGGTGTGTGCGGGACTTGCAGTGGGGCATGGGCAGCATGTTCCTACTTGTATGGATCCTGAAGCTTAGGATCCTTCGCCTACGCCCCCTACTTGGAGGTTCATGGGACATAGTAAATAGGGTTCTAAGCAAGGTAACTATAGTAATAGTTACTTATAGCCGCAATTAGGGTACTTATAACCTCACTTATTAAGTCCCATGGTCTTCTTAGTAGATACGCCAAATGCATCAAACCTGCGCCTTGAACTTAAGCAGGGTTCGAGTTCTGGCACCGAGATTGGCTTGCAGCATCTTCAGCATGCTTCTCTCTCTTGGTTCTCTCTCTCCTAGCATAATAACTTGTATGTATATATATATATATATGTATGTATGTATGTATGTATAAGTATATATATATATATATATATAAGTATGATAAGTTGTAAAGTGCATCCCAAACCCCTAGTCTGAACACTAATCCCCTGTACCTTTAAACCCTGAGCCCTGAGCCCTAAACACCAAATCCAAAGTCCAAATAAAAAAACCTTACTTGGACAATCATACGACTTAGTACTTGGGGTGATATACCGGGTAACTACACAGTTATTTTCACTTATAACCCCAGTTAAGATACTTATAACATTACTTACTACCTCCCATGGTCCTCCAAGTACAAGAGCCCCCTCAGCTCTCTGGCCCGAGTGTGGTTATTCCTAGAACTGCTTGCAGAGTGGTTAGGTTTGAGGTTCAGGGTGTAGGGTTTAAGGTTTAGAGTTAAGGTATAGGTTTGTGTGTAGGCTCGGGCGTCAGGGTTTAGGGGCTTTGGTTTAGAACTAGCGTTAGGCTTGCTGTGCTTTTGCATCTTGCCGTGTTCGAAGTATCTGCTAGGGCTCCATAAACTCTAACCCCAAAAATCCAAATTCTAAACCTTCAAGCCAAACCGCTTGCAAGCTCAAACCCTGAACCCTAAACCATGTGGTGTTTCCAGGGCGTGGCATCGGGATGTCCTCGGAGGTGCTCCTGGCTGAGGTCAAGCGCTGGTTCTACGCCCAGGAGAGTGTTTGGGGACACTTTCAGGAACCCCTCTAGGAACCCTGCAATGAGCCCCAAAAGAACCCTGAGAGTTTTGTTTTTCTGATTTTGGTTTCGACTTTAATCGACGCTTGAAACTTGAGGCTTTAGATCCTCTCTTCCTTGGCCCTGCCCTCCTGCCCGGGGCTATCGAGATTCCGGATCACGGAGCCTGAAGCTGATGCGACCATCATGTGAATTGGAGCAACCGCAGGCATTGGTCTTTTGTCTGTCAAAGTTCGCTGTGTTTGCGATGATTATGTTTGCTGCTGCTGCCATGGTTTTGCTGTGCTAGTTAGCTCGTAGTAGCAGAACAACCCTGACGAGGCCGGAACAACTACGAATAGCATCCCCTTAGGGATCCCTTATATGCTACATCCAATCCTTATGATCAAGGCCGCTGTGATGAACGTAGGCGAAATTCCTTTCTGAGTCCTGCGATTCTCGACGTCGAATGGCTCGAACCTTCTGAAGTCAAGACCAATCCGATTTCAGTTCTTATAATAGGTTCATAAGAGTTATTTTCTTTAAAGTTTATTTGCTTCAAAAATACTACACGGTTTTGTGGGCTCGAAGCGCCTTTACGCCATAGCCCTGTTTTGGCAAGGACGGGTTTGCAGAGGAGGCTTTTGCCTTCGCTGACCAGCACACCGACTTCTTTGAGGTCCCAATCCCAAGAGGAAGCCATGATATAGGGTTTAGGGACCCTAAACCCTAAACTTGGCATGGAGCCATGATAGATAGGGGGTCTGAAAACTTAGCAATCAGTAGTTTGTTAAAGCCCTTGTAAGGTTATGTTGCAGCAATGGGTAGGCATTATGGGCCTTGATGATTCGAGCAAGGTTCTGGAGGTATATTACTATAAGTATATTGGGGACTGAGAGGGGGTAGCAGCCGATGGTATGCTGACCCTATATTACGACACTAAACAGGTACACTGGGGTTAGGGGGTTGCACGCTATAACTACATTCGGAACTCCAAACAGGCAATCTGACTGGTTGTTCAAGCTCTTGCATTGCGAATCTACTGTGATCCTCACCGCCCCAAAAGAAGCAACTGTCCACAGATGAGGCAGCTCGAAGCTATTTCGACATGGGTGGTGAAGAGCACCGTCTGGACCGCCCGATTTGGGGCTTGTGGTTCAGAGTTTTCGGGCTCAGGATTGCAGTGCCTGTGGTGTTGAGGAAAAAGGGGCGGTGTGCCATGTTAGCATCCTGACAATTCCATGAGCATCTCACTCTCTTTCTCTCTCTCTCTTGCCCTCATGGCCCCTCGTTAAACTGCTCTCACTTTGTCGATGATTCCGACAAGCATACCTCCCTTCGCCCCGACTTTTCCTTGCTTCCTTCAAAGAGCCGCCCGTTAAAGGACTGGACAGAGCTCCACCAAAGCTTCGTGGCCGACTTTTCTGGCCGTTTAGAGGTGGCCGTGGGCAAGTAGAATGATAACGGCTCTGACTTTGTAGGTTTTAAAGGGACTATATACAGCTTAATCGGGGTCTTTGCAGATTTCAGAAGGGTTCGACAGCGCTTTAGAAGGGTTTCGTGGGGTCCAACATGCGGGGCCTGAATAAGTCCAATGAGGTGTTGGGAGTGTGCTGAAGTAGAACCACTGCGAGGCTTTAAAACGTTTTTTTTTTCAACCGTAGGGTTTGGTATTGTAAACGGTTTTTCAGAGCTGTCACAAGGGTTTCCTAATGGTTCTTGTACCGGGGAGTTGGGGTGCATCGGAAAAAAATGGTGTGTTCATAGCATTCCGCGGTTGCAGGCTTGGTGGCTTGAGGACTTGGGCTCTTCTTGAGATTCCCTTTTGGTTTAGGGCTTAGGGTTTAGGGTTTAGGATTTAGGGTTTAGGGTTTAGGGATGTTTAGGTTTTAGGGTCTTAAGAAGTGGTGGTCTGTAGGTCTCGGTTCGTAGGGCTTGCGGGGCCCCTAAAGCCATGAGCCCTGAGCCCTAGACGCCCAAAGCCCCCTAAACCCCTATGAAACCTTAAAGCCCTAAATCCCTTAACCCTCATCCTCATTATGAACCCTCATAGAACCCTAAGTTTGCCCTAAACCCTAAACCCGGAACCCTAAGCCCTAAAACCCTAAGCCCCAAACCCTGCCTACAATCGGTTCTTGTCTTTTTCAGGCCTTCCTGGCACTCCAGAGATCCGACCTGGAGGCGACCCCGGGGGGATCGTTGTGAGGGCTTAGGGGCCAGGAGTATTTCGGGTTTGCGGTTTTGGGGTTTAGGTTCATGGATTTAGGGATTTAGGGTCTGGAAGTTAGGATTTAGGGTTTAGGGCAAGAGTTGCACGATCTTCAGAATGACCACAGTCGTACAGAAATGATGGCTGTCCTCATGGTATGGGCCATGCTCGCCGCAAAGACAATCGTCATGTTGTGTTCAAGTACAGGTCCTTCGACAGATAGTCCGGTGGGGCGTCGAACTTCATTGGAGCCTCTTGCTTCTTGGAGGAACCGTTTAATTGAAAGATAAAGCGCCTCCTGCAAAGCCGCAACAAGCCTCGCCGGGTATGGGCGTCGGGCTTGCATCGCCAAACCCTTAACTATAGAACTCTTACAAGAAACTGTTTAAGATGAGCTTGTCTAATCATTAAGGCCCTTTCGTTCCGTTTACACTGCAAAAGACTCCTTTAGAACCTTTTTTTTGCATCCCTTGTCGTCAGCCTTATATACTATGTAATATAACTCTTTTGGAGACTCCTTTTTTCAGGAAGCCCCAGTTCGCTTGTGAAGGCCCCCATACTACACCCACCTTTCAGGGCCTCAGCGCCGCCTTCGAGGCCGCCGACCTCGGCGACGATCCCCAGGCTCCAGGGCTTGGAAGGGTAGATTAAAAAATCTGTATGCATGTATGTGTGTATAATATATATATATATATATATATATATGTACCTAAACCCTAAACCGTAGCTTTCAAGCTACATGAAAGTCAAAAGACTTAGGACTAGTTTCTCGGCACTTCTTTTATAAAGAGTTGCTTTGCATTCATACAGGGATGTACCGGCACACCGGCCTACTCAAATTATCAAGGCCTCTATATTGGACTGTCTTTCGTATGGGTAGATGGAGGATCATGGGACTTAGTAACTGGGGTTATAAGTACCCTAATTGGGGCTAAAGGCAACTATAACTATAGTTACCCTATTTACCAATTACTAAGTCCCGTGATCCTCTAAGTAGATGGAGACAGAGTCCCAGACTTTGGTTTGCTGGTTTGGGTTCATGATCAGGGCCTCCAACAGTTAAGCTCTAAATTATCCCCAAACAATCATAGAGGGTGGGGATTTACTATCAGGAGTCCACGTTCAGTCACAGTTTTGCTATGTATCGGGTTGAGGCTTTTAGGGTTTAGGGTTTAGGGTTTGGGGTTTAGTAATTAAGTTCCCCGGGTAAAAGGGCTTAGGATTGCTCTGGGTTTGGGGCTTGAAGTTCAGGGTTTAGGGCCGTTTAGGGTTTCAAGAGGCTGCGGTGATGGTGCAGCTGATGCTGAACATGGCGGCCGCTCAGTTGCTGTTTCGGGACTCTGTTGATTGCAGCTTTTTTGGTGTGCCGATCTTGTGGCAGGTGCTGATACGGCTGATGGACAAGAATCCGGCGTTGCTTAACACCCTAAGCTACGTGTTTGTGGTATGTTCCTGGTACTGCGAAGTGAAGGGATTTATACTCAGAACTGTTTCCCGTCATTCAAGCCGCGTTAGAGCCGTAACACTTATTAAAACACTTTAATCCCTCACTAGCACCCTTGAATCCTCTCAGCTCTTCTCAAAACTCGAAGAACGTTGTTCAAAGCCGCTTGAAGCCCCGCAGACACTTTTCTTACAAAGCAGTGCATATTGCAACAACCGCATCAAGCCCTTGAAAGCTTTAGAAGAACCCTAAACCCCAAACCCTGCAACAACCTGTCAAAATCCACCAAGTAAGTCCCAAACCCTACAAACCCGACGAAAACCCACCAGCAAACAGCACAGCCCTAGTAAGACACCGCTTGGCCTTAATAGATGCCAACCGAGGACTACGAGCCATGGCTCAACTCGATGCTCGCGCTTGTAGAGGAGCGTCGGAAGGAGGCGAAAAGTGGTCACCTAGGGCTGGAACAGGGTCTTGAAATAGTCCTTGGAATTGAGTTTAGAAGGTTTTTGTTGTCTCAGATCGGCTTAAAGGGTCGTTGTACGAGGCTTCAGTCGGTTTCTAATGGTGTGTTGAGCTTAGGGTTTGGCTAGGAGTTTAGAGTCGAGGATTTTAGGGTTCCATGATTCATGGTTCAATGCCGGCTCTGGGGGGTGGGGTTTAGGGATGCGGGCTACGTGGGTTTTTCCATTCAGTTTTTGAGGTTTCGGATTCTCGGACTTGGAGTTTAGCGTCGACCAGCTCTGTATTGACTATGAAGCAGAGTCGTCCACATAATGATCAGGAGCTTCGTCATCGCAGCTGTGAGTACACTCTTTAGTACGGCTTTGTCATGGGATAGCAGTACTGTTGCTAATTCTGGTTCTCGTGCGAACACCAGCAGTCTGAAATACTGACTAAGGTGCCCGCAGTAACAGCTATGTCAACCAGAATTAGAACCGCAGCAGCATCAACCACAATCACATCGCAACAGCATCACCACCGCGGCGAAACTGCTGAACACGGACCTTGTCTGAAGTCCATGGCACCACGCATCACCCTAATCCCACCTCTGTGTGCGTACGAGAGTGTTCGTGACGATAGTTTTGCCAGGAAGCCTGCAGTGTTCGATATTTACCAGAAAGAGCAAACATTATTGCGAGTGGTGAAGGTGACATGGAAGACATACAAAAACGTCGTGAAACCATGTGCGGTGCTTGGTTATGTTTATCGCCAGCAACTTGACAGTAGCATCAGCAACAGCAGCAGCAGCAATCACGACCTTACCGGGAGTAGTCGTATTGCTGAAGACGTTGTTAGTATTCCCGACAACATAGCGGAGACTTATTCGCGCCTGCAGTTGTGCGCAATGTTGCACATCTTACAAACGGTGGCCGCTTGGATTTAGTTGTAACAGAAGACCTGTCATCATATGGTAGAATCTTAGACTTGGAAATTAGTACAGAGATTTACAACTGTGCCCGGTTGCAATCTTATAATAACCTATCGTTAGTTGACTGGCTGTTAGTTCCCGCGAAGTGCTCTTCACGGACTGCGTGTTTAGATTATCGTTATAATAACATATAAGTGCATGGAATGGAAGCATGCTTTTATTATTGAATTAAAGCACGCGTCCAAAAGAACCACAAGTTATACCTAATTTTACGTTATAATGATACACCGAAGAACAGTGTTTTTGTGTATTGCGACATTGCACGAGAGGCAGCAGGCAGCAGGTCGTTTGCGCTAGCCGTGCCCTGCCCTGCCAGGCAGCAGATGCATGCGGATCCGAGACCTGTGACTCGCTGGCACGTGTCTTTTGGTCCTCGTTTGCACAGACTTGCGGTCTTTAAATGTAAATGACGTTTCTCTCTGTACTCACACCCCGCCCAGGCTCCTAAGGTCGTTGGCTCTTTGACTGGAACCTGAGAGACACACCGAATCCCGTCCGGTCAAACTGCTAGGTCCAGAGCTTCCGCCAGCAGAGCCGGCGGAGTCCGCGGATGACCTGGATGCCTTCATGTAGCATCGGAGAAAAGCAGGCCTCCGGCTTTTGGATATTTTTGTTTAGAATGCACCAGCCAGGCCGCGGCTTTGGCCCTGGAGATTGGGCGCGGTCTGGGTGGAGAGTTGAAGGCCCCGGAGGGCAACGGAGGAGTGCAGGGCATTGTTTGTCTGTTTCTATGTTTGTATCCCTTCATGTGTGTACAAATGTGATTAGATAGCTATGCACGTACGTTGGCATGTCTGTCTGTCTGTCTGTCTGTCCGTTTCTGCGTGCAGTGATGCTGTAGTCCATATCTCGGGTGTGCCTGCATTCCCTCTGCCAACAGCTTGCCTTTTGAGCCAAAAGTTCTGAGCTGCAACGCGAAGGTGCCGGTCTTCTTGTATGGTGCGGCAAGGGAGGCTGGACTGCAGACTCACCGACCCTGAGCATTTGTGGCCTTTCAGCATCCCGATCTGCTTAGGCTCTGTGTTGGCTTAAGCCTTGATCAATGTTTTCATAAGGGTTACATGCGGATTGACGGACCAATTGCTGCCTTTTACATCTCGAACCCCCAACCCCAGCCCGTTGCATGGGAGGATCGGCGGCCGCTGGCGGAGCTGCGGCGCAGCTTGGGGTGCCCGCTGTTGGAGTTATTGCAGCAGTGTGAGTCTTGTCACTTGTCAAGGCCGAGGATCTCGCACCAATTCCTTCCCCCTATATTGCCAGGTGTACTTGCTTGTATATACACAGGCTTCACATCGAACCAGGGTTTGCTGTCCTAAGCATGTGTCAAAAGGTATTTCGGCGGCGCTTCTAAAGGCGAATGGTCCGAGCCCCAACACATGTTGTTGTCGGTCATTCTTGTGGAAGTATTGTGACAAGAGGAGGATTTGTTCATCGTACCCGCCGCCATCGCAATGGCAAGCCCACAACCAACAACGGCATCAATGCCAACGCCGCCACCGCCCTGACCGGGACTAGTACCACCCGTGATCGGCGAACATGCACTCCTTTGGAGTAAGAGTACAGGAAATATTTGGAAACCCTATCCGAAGCCCCTAATGACCGCTTCTATACATAACAAGACTCGGACGCATGGCCTAAAGAGTATTGAAGACAATTGTCACCATGCTCAGCTCAATGGGTAGCACTGCTATAATGCCTTTCCCTCTCAGTATATGCTTCTGCTTCGGGTCATATCTTTGTTGTGCGTGGCTTTTTCAATTAACCTGTCTGTTCTTGCGATTTGCTTGCGTGCTTTATTGGCTTTGTTTGTTCTAGTTGTTTCATGATGATGATCATGATGGTGGTGGTCATAAACACCAAAGATCGTGGCCCTGATCTCTGACTGGTGAGAGCCTGCATCTCGAGCGTGCATGTCGACGATGCAGTTTTGTAACTATCACTCTTACAGCTCTTCTCATTGCGTTTGCGTGCTGTAGTTGGCACTGCTGTCTTGCTTCCTCCGGCCCTAAAGCCTGAAGGTCCGGTCTCTCTGCGGAGATTAAGGCCGCCATAGCCTGGAGCTCAAGTCGATGGCCAGGTGGGCTTCAACTCTTTGGGTAGCTCGGAATTATGTGCCCCGCCATGAGAAGGAGACCTGTGAGGTTTTATAACAAGCTTACAACCACTCCCTGATCGAAGCATGTGTGAGTTAGGCAGAAGGCCGGCCTGGCTTTCCAGTGTCTCCCCGACCCCAAATTATCAACCAGTGCCCATGCATCCCTCTTCGAAAATCAAGCCAAAGGAACCCTAAGCTACGAAAGCTAAAGAGAAAGAAACCAAGCAGCGTTTTCGCCTCTCCCTCACGAGGTAGCGCTACCTGCAGACTGCGGGCCCATGCGGGAGGCCTGGAACTATTGAGCTTGGGAATCCCGATACTCAGGCCACCTGGATCAGTCACTATTCCTCCCAAACCTGGTGCCCTAAAACGCCAAAACCCCAAACCTCAACCCATTGACACCGAGCCGCTAAGCTCCTATAGAGCCCTTCCTCAAGCCCTTACAACTGAAATGCACTTACAGGACCGCAAAATGACCCACATGGGACCCCTAATGTAGGAACCTGATCAAGAAAGCTTGTGCCTTTATTAGGGTTCCTTACGGGAGTCCTACTACCCAGGGTTTCTTAATCAGGTTCCTACACTAGCCTTTTTCTAGGGGCCGTGCAGGTGGACGAGCGCTGCGGCGTGGCATCCGTGGGAGCGGTCCCATGGGCCCGGGGTCTTGGATTGAAACTTAAAGGGAGAAATACTGTGATATGTATATACATATGTACATGTATATGTGTTTACATGTGTATATATATATACACACACATACATACAGAGGTTTTGGATTAGAAGGTTTTAGGGCTGTCTTATGAGGGCTTGAATGGGCTTTAGTTAACTGTGGGGTATGGCTTTTTCATGATGGCGTCTGGTATGGATTTATTTATGTGGTTTGGGAGTGTAAAGATTTGAGTGTTTAGGATTCATAGGCTGGCGCATAGGCATAAGTTGTAGGAGTCAGCGTATTTTCAGGTAGGATCAGAGCACTGTAAATACTCTAGCATTCGATTTCAGCACGCGGCATCACTACATGTCGCCACACGTGCACATAGCTGTTTCGACATCGACGAGGCCTCTTCTCATGTTTGTCGCCGCAAGGTTTACAACTACAACCTCCTCATCACTGCCTCCGGGCTGACGCAGGTGGGGTTTAGGGCTTTTGGGTTTGGGTTAGGTTCAGAGTTTAGGGTCTCAGACTTACAAGACGGCAGGCTGGCATCTTGGCTATCTGGAAGGATGCCATGTCTGATAGAGAGCCGCAGCTTATAGCACCAGACTTGCAAAGGTGTCAGTGAAGATTGCAGAGATCAAGGCAGAGGGTGCCCCCTAAACCCCAAACCCCAAACCCTAGGTGGTTTCAGGTTGATACCAGGGTTGGGACTGGAGGGTTCCCTCAAACTTCAAAGCAAGGCCCCAACGCCGCAAAACCAAGCCTTGCCGAGCTACTAGCAAAAACGAAGCCACAGCAGCCGGATCCGCCCCCCCCTTTCTAAGCCCTATAAGCCCTAAATCCTAAACTCTAAACCGGCAGTGTCGCAGCTGGTGTACAAATGCGACGGACTCCGGAAGCCAAAGTGCCGATCGTTACTGCTATCAGGAGGAGCTGATGACGAGGTGTCGGCGCATGGCCGCACGCTCTGAACTCCCGGGATATATAATGTCGGGCTTAGCGTCGGGTGATGGGACAGTGGGTGTTTTGACTTGCGGTTGGGTTGACAGAGCTACGTCGTTTGTTTGTGTGTTTGTTTGTTGTTTGTAGCTGAAGAACGTAGAGTTGTATCCCCTTCTTGCCCAGGTTCCATGTTCGTTAACATTGTTACTACAGCCTCTGTTACAGTTCTCAAGCACATCATTGTTGTTGTCACCTTTGTGTTGTCTTACCACTCCGATTTGCAGTGCGCCAGGTTTCCTAGTCATGAGCACCACCATATGTTGTCTGTCCGTCTGTCTGCCTGCCTGCCTGTATGTATGTCTGCTTGTATGCATGCATGCATGCGCATCTATGTATACATACACATATCTGTATATACTTCAACATATATATATATATACATACTTACTATTTAGATGTACATATACATACATATATATATATATGATGTGCACATACATATGTATACATATATATACACATGTGTATATATATATATATGTATGTATGTATGTATGTATATATACATACGCACATACACCGCTATTCTTATACATGCACTCACATCTATACCCCTTGTTTTAGAATTTCAGTTGTTCTCTCCCTGACTTTCACGAGAATTCTTTATAGCATTGCCATCACTTCTTGTTTTTGTTGTTGTTGTTACTGCTGGTCTGACTGATGATACTGCCATGATGGTTTTGTTTGCCGACGTTGTGGTCAATATACTGATCATTCCCGGTCGTCCTTTAGCAGTCGCAGTAGGTCCCCGTCTTCGAAAAGAACAAGCAAGAGTACTTCGTCGTCGGGTACGTCATACTACAGCTATATTCTGGAACATTCTGGAACCCAATATAAGGCATAATGCATAACATCATGAGTTATTCAAGCCCCATGTTAGTCGCAAGCCTGGTTCATGGTTAGTGACAGGTCCGGGAATGCACGCTGGCCAAACCCTTCCTTAGGAGTCTTTCGAAAAGTCCAAGGCATAGTACATTAATACTTAAAAGCTGGCAACTACACCGAAGCTCTCCTGGGAAATGAGAGGAATCAGGAGTATCAGTCAACAAACCCTGAACCCCAAACCTTAAACAGTCTACCTTGGGCATGCTTTTCTGGAGATCTAATTTCAAGTGCGTCCGCTGATCCTTTGCAGCATAGGCCCGGAGTCTCAGCGCCCGTGGGGGTGGGCTGGCAGCCGTGGAGACCATGGCGTTGCCGCATGAAAGCGGGGTGGAGGCCAACGAGGGCCGCGGGGCGGGGGAGGGGGGTTACGGTTTAGTTTCTGAGCCTTTCGGGGCATTTATTTGGTAAGTTGGAGTCGCCACTGCGGGCCTGACTCAGTAAACGTTTTGTCTGTGACGATCAAAGGCCGCCAGCTCTGCATCCCACAACCCTCAACTGATTCTCCATACGTGCCTGAGAATCTGCACTTTGAAGACATCGCCGACCTTTACAAGTCCCCGGCCTTTACCATACGCTTCAGCCATTAGAACCCACCTAGACACAGATGTACGTCTGTGTGTGTGAGCGTAAATGGAGGGCTCATATTGCCGCACAGCGCGGAAGATTGTAGAGCTACGGACAAGCAGAGCATGACGGCATTCAGGTTTTGCCCTCACCTCACATGGTGGCGATCATGGGCGCACAGGACACACTGTGTAAGATGGCAATGTTGAGCGTTTGTTCGGAGGAAATGCTCACATGGCAGAGGAGTTTGTGACTGGCTTCGAGAAGAGGCTGGCTTTTCAGCTGCACGACATCAAGCAGAACAGAGGCTGGTCAGGCGAGGGCATCTGGATCACCAAATCTGGCAGCTCATTCACTTCACTCGACGTGATGGCGTTTATGGGCTTGAAGGACATGCTGTGCAGGGCGGCCACAGATTCAACATAGGTTTGGAGGACACGCTGTCACACTTCACCGTAGAGGAGTTTGCGGCTGGCTACAAGAAGACGATGGCTTTCCGAGCAGCGCGGCATCAAGCAGAGAACAGGCTCGTCAGGCGAGGGCATCTGGATTACCAAATCTGGCAGCTCAAGCACTTCACCGATATGGTGGCGTTTACGGACGTGGAGGGCAGGCGGTGCAGCCTTGAACATAGGTTCGAGGACACACTCGCATACGTCACCGTAGATGACCTCTCGGCGACGCGTGCGTGTGTGTCCTCCAAACCTATATGTTCCATGCACGCGGTGCAGGGTGGCCATGTTGATTCACCGTAGAGCAGTTTGCTTCTGGCTTCAAGAAGACGTTGGCTGTCCAGCTGCGCGGAATCAAGCAGAACAGAGGCTCGTCGGGCGAGGGCGTCTGGAGTCTGGATTATCAAACGAAAACGTGGGAACCACTGCAAGTCTCACGGAGAGGGGTGATGCACAGACGACGAGGCTTTCGATCTGATGACCCTGACTCCCCACTATCCTGATTTAGCAGTTTCTGAGCAAGTGAGTGATGCTAGAGCGCTTCATATTTAAGAGTGGAGGTACTACGGCCTTCATGGTATTGTTGAGTTTGATGTCCCGACATCACCTCGATGAAGGTGTTTAGACATCCTGGGTATCTGAACCGTGTGGAGATGGCCTCATCTGATACTAAGGGGAAGATCCTGCACTTGTTAAAGTCCGATATGTGGATCGCATATTGTTTGTTGTTGCTCTGAAACCTTTAATGCTTGCCGTGCATTCTCAGGCATCGTCCATGTGCCATTATTTATTGATTCTGTTGGAGGAACGGGACAGCTTTTCCTTCGCTGGCTCATCCCGTGTCCTCGCGCGAGTCCACACTGGTGAAAGTCAGATCACTGGTCTGCACGAAGCAACTGAATTAGGTGCATCCCAAAACGGGCCGCGTCGCATCAGACTATACGCCCCACGTGTGAGAAATGTAAGTGCGTATATGACCCGTTTGTTCAAGACCTGACCAAAGAACTTTTACACACATGAACTGTTTTGGATACATGTTTGTTTATACGTGTGCAAACATAGTACGATTCTATTAAATATGCATGCACATGTATGCCAACTCTATGTCTCGTGTTTGCGTGTTTATGTTTGTACGCATCTATGTATCCGCGTGTCTCTGTCGATGTCTATGTCCACGTTTGTTTCTATGGTTTGTCTATACATGCAGATGTCAATTTTGCTTCGGGTCACAGCCGAGATTTCGGCAGGTGGCATGCAACCTCCTCGACGCGGAGCAAAGCCCTCCGCAGATGGTGCTTCCACGCTTGATCCGTTGTTCCTTTCAGGCATTTATCTTCATGTGGGCTGATTGTCGCGAGAAGTACTCACAAAAGCGAAGTCGGCATATGCATGATGTTCTGTTGCGGATGAGCAAGTAAAGCACCTTTGGGTTGGGCTAGGCATGATTCATGCACGGCCTGATATTGGACATACTTCCGGTAGCTTCGCAGTGCAAAGTTCAGGTGTAAGGGGTTAATTAGGGTTTAAGGTTTATAGATCTCCATCCAGATCTCCACGGCCGGACTGTCTATGTTTAGGTTGGCAAGACGTCACACCAGTTCCAAGTTTGTGTCAAGAAAGTACGTTCGTCAGCTGCGAGTTCCACAGAACAAGAATGGTGTATGCAAGTTTGGTCACCATCGTTAACTTTGACCATTTTGGTACCGTTTTTTCAGCTGGTCCTGTCCCTGTGCTGTACGCGTTTGAAAGTACTGCTAGTCTATGTTATACTGCTTTATGTGGCTGTGCGTGCGTGATTGTATGCACATACTATGCACACGCCCCGGTATATGAGTGGCTACATATGTGTTGTTGTAGTACATTTTCTCATACACTCGTGTGTATGTATATATGTATACAAGTATACACATGGACATATGTTTATTCGTCTGGATATACTTGTAGCCATACGTCACAAAGCTGAACAGTAATCAATGTATAGATTTGTAGGCAACTTAAAGCGAAGTGGGTATACATCATATCAACTGCATGCTCGTACTTTAAACTTCTTCCAAAGAGCACTTCAACTAGATACATAGCACTATCTGAATCCAAAACCCCAAGCACTGATCAGAAGTGAAGTCGATTCCGCCGTGTCCACTGGCTCGAAGCTTGCGCTGCGGCACTTCACGCGCGATGGGCTCGGTGTGCCCGGCCACACTGTTCCAGGAGCTAAATTCGGGGCCCTAATCTGATGAAACGAGGTTTCCGAGGCTATATTACATTATGACGATTCAGCGGCCATCTCTTCACCATTCATATTCATGGTCAGTGATTTCAACTGAATGGTAGGAGTTCAACGTGCGTAAACAACCAGAAGCAGAGGTGCTGGAGTTCGAAAAGATTGACGTAGGAATGCTACACTGGCATTGCCGACCACCCTGTGTGCTTTCTGTATCGATATGGGCACAAACCGTTAACACTGGCTTTTGATGTGGAGCAAAAGTTGACGCGAAAGCCTCACATGTAAACCATTGTGGTTTCGGTTGATGTGAAAGCTAGCAGCAGGAGTAGCAATTCTACGAGTAGTAGTGCAAGCACCGGTCTTTTTGTTGAAGACGCTCTCGTATTGGAATCTAGAACCAAGAGTCATGGTCCGGGAAGCCCCATAAGCTGCAACCCAAAACCCAGAACCCAAAGTCCTCAAGCATAAGCCCTTGATTCCCAAATACTTCATGCCAGGTGTGCCCAGCCTGTGCCTTGAGTTGCCATAGCGCGGAAACCCAGTAATTTTAGTCTCCCTAAAATTCCAGTGGTTCGAAACCACTGGGTTTCCGTGCCCTAGACTTCGGACCCTTTGCGTCTGAGGTTTGAGGTTCAGAGTTTAGGGTTTAGGCTTGAAGGTTCGGGCGTGAGTGTGGGAAGCAAGCAAGTACAGTTCGTACGCTTAAGTGTAAGCCTTAAGTTCGTCAGTTCTACGCCCAGAAGCCAGCACTGCACCCTACACCCCAAACCCTAGATCCCACACCCCAAAGCCTGAAGCCTATATACCAAAAGCCCGCAGCTTACCCACCCGAACCGGCTAAACTCTAAGCTCTGCACATCCCGAGTGGCTTCACGGCGGTTGCAGCAAGGTTTGGTGTGGTTTTGATCTAACCTCCGGACCAAGATTGCTAGGCTTATGTTGCAGAATATGAAAGAATGTTATCTTTTTGAATACTTCACAATGAGCTGTAATAAAGCCTATATATCACGGTGCAGTGTGTCAGCAGAGAGCCTAGCATAACTAGCAATTGGTAGACGATTGAAGGAAGCAAAGGAATAAGTAAGTACATAGATGCATGTATAGAAGAACCAGTAAACATATGATTACATTTGTGCTTCTTTCTTTGTTTGTGTGTGCGGTTGCAGTGCTAAAGTTGAGGCAACGAGTCTTCAATTTCCCCCTTGTTACTGCTGCTATCATGGTTTGTGTCTTTACTGTCAGCCATAGAACCCTGCGGAACTCCTTCTGGAATGTAGGGGCCTAGATAATTACCAGGAGTATTGTAGGGGTTCCTTACTATAACTATACCCTGTATTATAGAACCCTTATTATAGACTTTGTATAGATGGCACCCTTTAAAGAATAGGGTTATTAAGGCCCCCAAAATTACGAGTCTGTGCTGGATTGTCCGCCCTCCGAGGCACCTGCGGCGAGGGCTCCGCAGGATACATGGTGGGTTTGGGATGAAGTCCATAGCTCTTGTTTAGGGTTTTTCGGGTTTAGGGTTTTTAGGGTTTTTAGGGTTTTTAGGGTCTAAGGTTTAGGGTTTACGGTTTAGGAGTTCAGGATCTGGGGCCTTGAGCTGTTCTGGTGTGGCCTGCATGCATGATGAGCTGGATCCAGATCCTGGATTTCAAGATGTTCTCTAGCTCAAGCTGTGGCAGTGCGCGAGTTGACATGAGATCTGCCAGCCCCGAGATGTGGGGAGGGCTCCCGCTGAATCCTTGCACGGCGCGACGGTTCTGCATGACCGGAGGAGATCTGCCGATGTCTTCTGCAGCTGGCGGGGAAGGTACGCCGTGCGATCGGACTCGCTGGGTCTTGTCACACCCTGGTGTATGGATGTCTGCAACCCTGAAGCTTTTAAATTCCAACTATGAGGGACGACCACAAAGCCAAGCAACCCTCACAGGCGATGAAGCCTTCCTCAACAAGTTCTCGCGGCAGAATGCGGCTTTTGGTGCTGAGGCAAGTGCTGATTCGGTAGTTTATGACATTCGATCAGATTCCACAACCTTACATTACACTCTTTCAATCGTTGACATGAGAAGGGCCTCCCTGATGATCAGCCGTGATGCCACGGCGTTCTTTCTCACGCAGCTACACATCGTCTGTTCTGAACTGTTCCTTGTTGCCACAAGCTCTTCAAGCTGTTCAGAAGAGCTCCACTACCCTTTTGTGAAGGAGATTCCATGGACCTGATTGCATGCGGTCCTGTGTCTTTGACTGGGAACGCAGTCAATTCTGCTATCGACGGTGACGCGATTAAGATTCTTCTGCAGTTGTGGTGCATCGCTCATTGCAGCTCAGTTCTTCACTTCCTGCACACGGAACTGCTCCGAGGGAAGACATGTGGATGCTTCCATTCTCATCAGTCGCAAAGCAATCACAGGGTCGCAAAGCCTCGAAGACGCGCAGGGAGTTGCGTCAGATATCTTGTGAAGGGGCTCGCTGAGCTTGCGTTTTGAAACTACCATAGCGTACTGTGGGATTGTTAATCACTAGTTCCTGATTGTACTTATAGCTTCGTCTACCCCAAAACCTTGTTCTGATCATTAAAGCCCCTACAATTATTGCCCTAAAGGATACAGCCTGAGTGAAGCAGGTCACCATGAAGATGACCAAGATGAAGGCCTTGGTGGTCGGCTGCACTGGCGTCGCCGCAGAGGTGCTGCATATTTCCGGAAAGCTCAATACCCCATGTTCTGAGCCATATGATGGATACAGGTGGAGACCCGTCAGATGATTCAAGCTGTATAAAATACAAACTTTCATATTGCTAGTTTTAGACCTAGAAAGATAGGTGGATAGATAGATAGATGGATTCATCAGCGCCTTCGTTCCTGAACAAAGAGTCGGAATATCCGCAAGATTTGCAAGAAGTACGGTCATGGTTCAGGCTTGAGAGTGTAGAGTTTTGGGTTTAGGGGTATTCCCGTTTGGGGTTGCAGCTTGTATATGACGTTTTCAGTATAGCTCGTCAGAGTTGCACCTAGGTTTTGATTGGTACTGCGCTCGTTAGAATCGCCTAGCTCGTCGGACGTACCAGTCATACAGCCAAGCTGGTCATTCTGAGTGGCCGATCGAGGTAGGATCATGGCGTTGATTCATTCAATGACATGTCTAACAATGGCTTTGCTTAACAGCCCTGCTTAGTCAAAAGAGCGTCCAAGGAGAAGCTGTTAGACTGCCAGGGCCGAAGCAAGTGGGGGTTCATTCAGCATCCCCTTTCGGAGCTCCATAGCAACGTAGCCCTTTACCGGCAATCTCAGCCATCTCCCCAATCACCGCCCGCAGGGTTCTCAGGTCTGGACACCTCCGGCCAAAGTCGTACGCCCTAAACTCTAAACTCTAAACCTCAGCCTGGAAAATCAGAAGATCGTACACCGTAAAGCCCTGAGCGGAAAGCTCTAACTCCGAACTCTTGCCACGCGGGAGATCGTGAAGAACCTCGTTCTGCAGGGCTTGGGGGCTGCCTGGCCCTCAGCAGAGCGAGTCGTTGTTTTTCGGGCCTGGAGTGCGAGGCAGTGACTTGGAGCAAAATTGTGACGACACGCATCTCTGGTGCTTGCAACCTCAGCTTGAACTCCTTGAGTGCGAATGCTGCAGTACAAGGGGCAGGTCGTGCACCCACTAATGAACTTCAACCACACCTCCGGCAAAGGAGCCGAGGTATTCAGCAATACAATGATTGTTCTGGCTTGCAGCGGAATGTTGCTTCAAACTCCAGTGGAGCTTCTTTATCCACTGAAGCCACCGGCATACTACAGGCTCTGCATGAAAGTCATAAGCAGCGGGCTTTCCTCCGGTTGATGCCGAGGTCACGCTGGTCGACAAGAAGCCGGTGCAGATTCAGGAGAAGTCTTCGCTGAAGAGCCTTGCAGTTTCTATCTATTCGGGCACCGATGCGAAGTGAGGCTGAATGCTTTAAGACTTTCTGACCATGATGTGGAAGAACTCAGTGCCGTGCAGGACCTGGGGACGAACTTTTTCTTGTCGGAGGCGGCACACACACTCAACATGCACAACTCAGATGTGTTACCATTCTGGGAAGTCGAGAGGTTCGATCTTTGGGAGCTTGCTCGGATGCGCATCAGTCGAGCAACTACAATGCGAACAGATTTTATTTGACAGCTTGAAGTCTGCCGCTGCCGACAGTTAAGGTACTGCTGGTGTTGCTGTCACCAATCATACCAACGCTAATGCTGCTGCTGTTGCTGCTGCTAGCCGCCGCTACTGGCACTGCTACTGCCACCGCCGCTGTACTACGGCGCTTCGGCTACGACCACCAGGTTTGCAGCAGGCGCATGCTAGCATCGAGAGCAAAAAGTCAAGTAGCACTACGAGCACGAGAACATGGGTGTCTGAAAAAGCTCAGGACAACGCGTCCGAGCCAACGAAGTTGACACACCAGGACCACAGCGACGATACGGGGACCATCACCGCCAGAGGCCGCAAGTCAACAACAGCACAACGGCAGCAGCAACCACAACGACAACTCATGCACAACAACAGCAAACAGCACCCTGTTGGCCACCGTATCAAAAAGAGCGGCGGAATGGCACAAGGAACAGGACCCCCCGCCACCGCCATGAACAACAACACTACCCAACATCCCCACTATCCCCACCACCACACCACCACCGTCGTTGTAGAATAGTGTGGCAATGTGACAGTGCAAGTAGGAGTTGTAGTAGTAATCGCAGTCGTAGTCATGGGGGAAAAATCGTCGTGGAGCTCATGTTGCAGAGGCTGACGTGGGAAAGCCTTTGGCCGTCACGCTCGTTCCCAAGTTCCAGGACGACAAACTGAGCCTTTTCAGATGTGATGCCTGGTTTTGCCCCACTCCCAAAACCTTCAACCTTCTGTCGCAAGATCATTCCCAGGGCGGGGGTTCGAGTGGATCCGGCTTTTGAAGATTCAATGGCTCATCAGTGGCTCACTGCCCCGGCCGATCCCTATTTTATTTATTAGCATCATGCCACCCTCATGAAGGAACGTACACCACTAGGATCCTTACGACCTTACGATATTGACCGAGGAATGTCGGTGCGCGTAATTTCAGAAACCCCCATTTGGCGCCAGTCTCTTAAGTGGATCTTATGTCAAGTAAATAAGAGCAGGATGCCATTTTTCAATCAAACTTAACATCGGTTCGGTTGTAATCCGTAGTATGCTGTAAGGTGCCCCCCAGCCGATGCGCTTGCCGAAACCCGAATATTGCTGTCCCGCTCGTGTCGATATACTGCCAGGAGCTGAACCCCTTCTGCAGCATCCGTACCGAGACGTCCCTGACGCCGGAGGTGCATATAACACATAGTTTGTACAGCACTTAGCTTATCTTTAGACTTAGATATTTATACATACCTTTTTGTGGGACTGCTCTTCTTGGTGCTATATCATGAGCGGAGCTTGCAATCATGAGGGAAATCGACACCTTTCCCAAGCTTGCAACAGCACACTTTGTGTTCTCTTCTACCCCTCCAATGCTTCCACTCAGGGAAGGAACAGGCATAAGCAGGATTTCATCTGACTCCAGCCAGTATTGGTGCGAGGCCTCAAATGCAGGAACGGCTCGACACGATAAAGCACCATAACCACCAAAACCAGAGCTTGGAGTTGTGGTGTTACAGTCATTGTGTTTTCTAAATATTGGTTGATTGATTTCGGAGACGGGAATCGACACTAGAGGTCCTCTGAATCTTGTATCGGCATTATGGATGAGAATTCGGAAGGCACCTTCCTATCTCAAGTGGAGAATATTGGGATGCAGTGCTTTGAGCTCATGGGGTTTAGGGTTTGTTTTGCAAACAGCAGAAGTCTCTCTCGAGGTGGTGCGGCAGCATTCTGTGCTGCTGGTCTGCGAGAGCATGCCCTTGCCGGACCTCTTAAAGCGCTGCCGACGCACTTGGACCCGAATATCGACCCCCAATAGTAGCAAGCCCCAACGTGAAGACCTGGTAGGCTTGAAGGGTTGAGCGAGGGCGTGCGCACTTCCGCTGCCAAATTCTGCTTCGAGGCATTGGGGCTGGAACTGATTGGGTTTGCTTGCCTTTCCGCATGTTGTTTTCTTGGTTTCGGGAGGCTGTAGCTCACAGGGCTATTTTTCAGGTCCATCTGTTTATGCTACTGAAGAGCCCCAGTAGCAAAGCCCGGTACGAACCAGCAGTGCCTGGAATCATCTTGTGCTCATGAGCTGGATGATCGCTTGCGCAGTCTTCCTCGTCCTCGTGTCGTCGGTGAGCATTCGAGAAAGCCAGCACTTGGAGGATCATGGGACTTAGTAACTATGGGGTTATAAGTATCCTATTTGGGGCTATAAGTAAACATAACTATAGTTACCCTATTCATAACCCCAGCTACTAAGTCCCATGATCCTCTAAGCATGCCAGGTGGAACGACTTTTGCCGGACGAATCAGCCCAAGCCCGTGGCCGCCAGACACCTCGGACAGCAGACTCTAGGCAGTTGCACAGGAGACCTTAGGTTCTACGTAGGAGTGTTGAGTGGAGTGCGCTGCAGATTGAAGGGCCTGTAGGCATCCGGGCTCTTGGGGCTTGTAAACATTGTGTGCCGTATTCTGGACGTGAAACTTCTGAGTTCATCTACGTGCGAACCGGCGGCGTCTTCGGAAACGTCTTTGTGGATTTCGGTCCCCAGCATGTGCTGATGGATGCCAACGGACAGGCCTCAGTTCTCGGCGGGCTTCAGATGGACCCTGAGATTATCTGGTGTACTTGAACTTTGTTTGCCATTGTATAAGGCATAATATCATTCTTATGATGCTGAGTTGCACCATGGGATACCTCCACCGTTCCGTGCGGTCCACTGTTCCCCGGAAGGGTTTTCAGCAATGGGGATCTTTTTTGTAAGCCTAAAGGGTCTGGGTTTTGCTTTCACTGAGGTTCGCAGGGCATATAAACAAAGGGCACGAAATCGCTTTCTCATGGGTGGGGCTTGCGTTTGTTTGCGGTTGCCAAGCTGAATAATTACCCGTAGGATTCCCTAGGTTTCCTTCCCAAAACCTGTGCTATGATGTATTCCCAAAACCCTATTCTGATCATCAAGGCCTTGCACTAGTGGAGCTGACCCGGGGGAGTTGCTTGTCAACGAAATCGCGTACTGTTTTTCTTTGGCTCACCTCTCTGCAGCGCGGTTTCTTTGGCCTCCCCCTGCCGCCGTCAGAGGCCAGGGTTGCTGTTTCAGCGCATGTGGACGGGTGGTAGCTTGAATTGTGCACCTTTAGCGCACCTCTGCGTGCTGCGAGAGGTGAACTGAGGCACCATGGCCGCCAGCGCAGAGGCGCGCTGTACCTGTCGTTGTCGGTGTACGGGTTTGGGTTTAGGGCTTACAAGCTGATGAGTCCAAGAAAGCTCTTTTAAATGACGATGACACGAGTCTCTACCTGATCAAGCCTAAACTCTAAACTCGGCCAAATCGCTGCTTCATGAGGTGGCCTTCGTTGCCGCCGCACCAACCCGGGTTACTCCCCTTGCGGCACCAGGCGAGAGGTAGCAACGAGGGACAGTTAGGAATTGTAGGGTCGAGGGTTGAAGGAAATCCGAAGTCGTCTCTAAGCACGAAACCCTAACCTGTACGCCCTAAGCCCTCATCTCTAGACCCTAAATCCGACAGTAAGCTTACTTATACTAGCCCTCCTGGAAGTTGCAAGAACGGCACACGACATACTAGTCCCCCTTGAAGGGCCCTGTGAGGTTTCGCTGAAGGCTCTGGGCTCTTCGAGTCTTCGTGTTGGTAACCTGTCCAGCCGCCAGAGCTGAGGGTTCAGGATATTGATATGGCAGTTTCCGAAAATTAGGGGTACCTAATTTTGGGGTCCTAAAAAAGGATCCTACTACTTAGAGTGCCATATTAGTGTCCTCTATTTTCGGAAACACCCATATGCTTGGAGGATCAAGGGCCTTAGAAAGTCTAATTGGGCAAGTAGTTCTGACTATACTCACCTTCTTGAGATCCCTAGGTACTAAGTCGCCCGACCCTCCAAGTGGGGCTTAGTAGCCTTTTGTATAGGTGTTCGGAATATTGTTTGATCGTTTTCCGTGACAGCCCTTATATGCATTGGTAGAGATAACGTGCAGAATCTGTATATGTATATACATACACATTTACACAATTTTGATATACGGTATACGGATAGATAGAAAGTACACCAGTACACCTGCACATGTTTGTGATCATATTTATTTACACTATGTTTATGTATTCATACTTATACACACACACACACACAGACAACTTTACACAAGCGTATTTGTGTTTTCACTCTGCGCAATGGACTCCGCAGCCTTTCTAATCTGCAAGGCTGCTGTTGACGGTCTGTTTCTTTTCCGCATTGGTACCCCGCGGCTCTGTAAGTTTTCTTTGCGGATGATTTTGTTTGAGGCTTTGGAGCGCAATCTCGGTTCCATCGAAGATGTTGTGTGTGCTTCGATACTGAGGCCGTGGTCGAAGCTACCCTATCGAGATTAGACCATTTTGATTACGCCTCTGTTTGTCTGTATGCACAAATGAACTGCATGCAGCCACAGGTATTGCAATCTTACTGCCGTACTAGTAATTACGAATGGCCGAGTAGTGTTGTTGCCATTACCATTTACACAGCACTGCAGTTCCAGGAGGCAGCCAGCGAGCGCAGCCGAGCGGGCTGCGAGCACAGGCACCCGAACATGCCAGAGCGATCGTGGAAGGTTTAAGTTTTCTTACCTTAGGTTAGTAGGGAATGGAGGAATGGGGTACAATTATATCTCCTCTTACTACCACTAACCAAAGGTAAGATTTTTGGTGCCGGGTTTGGCGATCGTAGGCGTGGCGTGTAAGACATAGAAACACAATTCACTGTTGCGGCAGCAGTAGGCGCAGTCGCAGCACCAGCAATGATGCTAGTACTGTATTAGTACGAAGAACAGCTATGGGCTACAGGTGCTTGGCATTCTGCTGGCTGAAAGTGTTTAGTTGCACGTGTGATGTAGTATGCCAGGTATTTATCAACAGACACACACACACACACGCACACACGTGCATGTGTACATACATGCAAAAATACATATGTACGTAAATGCATATGCATTCGTATCCAAACAAACACAAGTACATGCATAGACACATACAAGCAAACATACAAACCTACGTGCATGTGCGTACGAACTTGAATACATCTGTGTCGGAATCTGCATTCATCGCCCTTGCTGCAGGAATGAACCCAGGTAGGTTGATCATGCCTTCACTGTGCTCCGTGCTCTGCGCTCCCAAACCTTTCTCAGGTTCCACACTTGGAGGATCATGGGACTTAGTAAGTAAGGTTATAAGTACTCTAATTGGGGCTACAAGTAATTATAAGTATAGTTACCTTACCTATAACCCAAGTTACTCAGCCCCATGATCCTTTAAGCAAGACCGAATCCTCACCTGAAAAAGGCGCCCGCGGCCTTGACGCCGGCGGCCGCGGCCCTCGCAGGCAGGAGTCTCAGGGAGAGAGCTTGGTGAATGCTGGGAGGTCGCTGTGATAGATCAGACCGGTACTCTTCTTGATTTTTCAGGGAGTGCCGATGCCGCCCACCTGCGATTTGTGACCCCGTTGTGTTTGTGTCTGCCACCCGAATACTAGGTTTACGAGGGGTAGTAGTAGCAGCAGCCGTTCTGACAAGCGCACGACCATATCAAGGGCTACAGTGCAAACAAGCACAGCAACACGTGAGTGAGTAGCAACACAGTTGAGAGTAGCAACATTCCGTCACGGGAATGGTCCTGGTGGCAACGGTATAGGTACTGTAGTCGTGTTGCATGAGTACAGCAGCAGCAGTCGTCGTCCGTGTTGTAATGGCCATAGCAGCAGCGGCAGCAAGCAGCTGCAGAAGCAGTCGCAGTCGCGGTCCTAGTCGCAATGCAAGTCGCAGTCCTCATTCGTAGTCGCCGTGTCTTACCGTACAGGGCTACGACATTGTCTTCGTCGCCGTCGTCAGTTGTAGTCGTCTTCGGTTCACAGTCGAGTCGAAGTCCCAATCCGAGTCGAAGTCCCAGCCGTAGCCGAAGTCGTAGTAGGACGAGAAGGAGGCGCAGAGGTTGGTAGCAGCAGTGGCAAAGAGGTTCCCTACTACAGGCTTTACAGTAGATAAGAACTTGGGGGTTTTCATGTAAGCTCCGTAGACCCTATAACCCTAAACGCTCAAGAACGTTTTTTTTTAAAGGGGCCGCAGCCGCCCTGCGCGGACGCCGGGCGCGGCGTGCAGCGCGGCTGGAGCGAAAGGCCCGGAAGTAGAAGCCCGAGGTTTGCAGGCCATATTCGAGGGTTTAGATAGATGGTTATCCGACAGGGGACAAGGCCGTTAGTGCCCTGGGAGTCTTGGAGGTTTTGATCTAGCTCTAGGAAGTAAGTAGGTCGTGTGCAAGAACGAGTCTCAGTCCAGAGGGGCAATGACTCGTGTTCCCTCAAAGGTTCTTTTTCTTCGCAAGTGTGCTCGAGGGATAAGGGCTGTAAGAGATTGTAAAAAGCTCGGATTTGTATTAAGAGAGGGCGGAGAGGTGTGCGGTGGCCATGCAAACGTGTTGTCATGTAGCTTCAGCGTCGAATGTGCAGGGCTGTGAGTGGACTCTGGCCAGGCCTTTGGAAAGTTTCTGGGCAACATCAAGTTCCCATGGGACAATGACAAGGATGACAAGGCGGAGGCCGCGCCGTGTTTGGCCTCCCTGCTCATGCCCCAGTATTTGTGAAAATGCGGCTTGCTGGCGGGGTCATGTGCCAGTGATGGGTACGCTGGGACCTGCCTGTAATATAGTAGTAGTCGTAGCAGCAGCAGCAGTAGCAGCAGTAGCAGTAGGAGTAGCAACAGGAGCAGCCGCCGCAGCAAGAGTAGTAGTAGGAGGACGAGCAGGATTCTGCATCCCACTCCTCCTCGCGACTCCTCCTACAGCTCCGGCTACTGCTACTGCTACAGCTACGACGACGACGACGACTGCCACTGCTACTGCTACTGCTACTGCTACTGCTACTACTACTACTACTACTACTACTACTACTACTACTACTATTACTACTACTACTACTACTACTACTACTACTACTACTACTACTACTACTACTGCTACTACTACTACTACTACTACTGCCACTACCACTATGACAAACGTCACTAGTAAGGAAATCACTATCAGAATCTTGAACATGCCGTTCACGCTCATCAAAGAAGGCTTTTGCCGGACTAACGCCGGTGACGATCAATCGGTCACACGCATCATCATGGCGTTACATCAGCTGTGTAGTTCTCCCTTGTGTATGTCTTAGTCTTCATGTTTGTCCTCGGGATACCTTGTCGAACCTGTGTACCGATCGCTTGCTGTGGTTGCAACGAACACAAAGCATAGTCTTTGCTGCAGCCACCTTCCTGCTCGTTCTAAATAGATCATGTGCCATCGTCGGTACAATCGCAGGAAGCGAGCACAGTGCGAATCGGACCATGTTTGTTTAGATGGTGCCGCCTTTGTTCACGCCTTCGCTTGTCGCTGCAGTCCTCCAGTGGGGCCGAGAAGGGGAAGCCCTCCACGACCTGGAAGGAGCTACTGCTCCTCAAGGCGGGACGACTTCAGGAGGTTACGGAGAAGATTCAATCTGAGTTCAGATAGGACATGTGCCGTAGCTATGCTACTTACTACTTGCTGTGCCCATTTCGGCCGAAAGTGTCCGGCCATGTGCATGCGACTGCAGGACTTGGGGCAAAGCTCCTTCGACAAGGTGACGCCAATGCCAATCCAGCAGTGAAGATTGTTGTGCACTAGATCTAGGAGACCACATGGCTTCTGCTTGTGCCGTCAGTTGTGCAATCCTCGACTCTTGCCGTGCAACCCCAGGGCAAATGCGGACTGGATACCCGCTGAAGGGGGAGTCTTCTCAGCAAAGCAATTGCATGCTTCGGGCTAGGGCGCGGTTGCCCCGTCATGAAAACCTAAATAGACAAGGGTCAAGTCATGATGTCCGAGGTTTCCGAAGTCCAGAGATGTAGAAGCCCCAGAGCCCGCGGGGTCGGCGAGAAGGCCCTGCAAGTGAACCTCGACAACAGCATCTACGGCAGTTTCGCAGAGATCGGTGCTGGCCAGGAGGTGCCAAGCATAGTCTTCGGTTCAGGGTGCCTCAAACGGCAATGGAGTACCGGGACAAGAAACGTATCGACAGGCAAGGTAGTATTAATCTATGAACAGTACCATTCAAGCACAGAAGGCCGCCCCTTCTTGTTGGGGCCCCTTTTGCATCCTGAGATCTTGATCATTCGCCTTGCGACGGTTATGTACTTATGTACACTTACTTGATGCAGTTGTGATGCCGGCACTTCAGCTGACACTGACATGAAGACACTAGCGCTTTGGAGATTGAGGTATCTGCACTCTGCAGGAACAGATGCATCCGTGGACCATCCTACGCCCCTTAGCCCTTAAGCCTTTAACCCCTCAAATCCGAAACTCTGCACTAAGCCCTTATATGACCCTGATAGAGCGACCGGTCTAGTAATCCCTATACTAAACTATACTCCCTCTATTAACCTATATGGAAATCCGTCCAAGAACACTCAGAGTAAACCGTACGCATAAACCCCAATTTCTAAACCGTACTGGAGTTCCTTGAAGCTTCGCAGGTCTCTCGAACCTTCCTCACGGCTGGCGCGGCCGCAGGAACTGCCGGGGCCCTTGCCATGGCTTCTTGTGATTCTTCGTCTTATCGTTTCTTGCGATTGCTATCTCCCTGATGGTTTTGTCACTTCTTCCGAACTTCTTCTAGTATGATCATCAACTGCTTCTCACTCAGCCGAAGCTAAACTTTTGAACTTTTGGGGCCAATGTTAAAATTATAGATAATACTATATACAAATTTTACCCGCAAGGGCTCATAAGAGTGGATGGACGGCTTATTATTTTGATAAGAGTGGAAGGACGGCTTAAAATATATTTGGTATAGTCTGAACGTGAACCGCCCACTTGTCTTCATGGCTCATTTGCAGGACAGCGTAGCTGAGACTTATCAGCCATGGTGACAGACAAGCGGGCTAGTTCCGCTTGAGCGGGTTAGTTCCGCTAGAGCGGCTTAGTTCCGCTAAAGGCGGGTTAGTTCCGTCTAGAGCGGGTTAGTTCCGCTAAAGGCGGGTTAGTTCCGCCGGGCAAAGCTAGCTTTACCAGGCGGGTTAGTTCCGCCAGGGCGGGTTAGTTCCGCTTAATCCAGGGCGAGCTAGTTCCGCCCTGGCAAGGCTAGCTTTTCCAGGGCGGGTTAGTTCCGCCAGGGCGGGTTAGTTCCGCCAAGGAAAGTTATGTGGGCGGTGATCTGTTGGGTCTGAGGAATCCAAGCGAGGGCACCCTGGCCACGATTCTTTCGTTGGTCTGGGGATTGACGAAGACTCCAAGGACAAAGCTGAAGCTGCGGCTGCTGAGTGGCTGCGTGCCCAGGGGCAAGGCACGGAGAAGGCAGCAAAGGCCAAGAAAAAGACAATTGCAAGACAACTCACAGACAGCTATGGGACAACTCGATGACAACTCGTTAGTTGTCTGTGGGTTGTCTTCGAGTTGTCTGCGAGTTGTCTTCGAGTTGTCTGCGAGTTGTCTTCGAGTTGTCTGCGAGTTGTCTTCGAGTTGTCTGCGAGTTGTTTTCGAGTTGTCTTGTAGTTGTCCGCCGTTTGTCCGCGCCTTAATTGCAAGACAACTCACAGACAGCTATGGGACAACTCGATGACAACTCGTTAGTTGTCTGTGGGTTGTCTTCGAGTTGTCTGCGAGTTGTCTTCGAGTTGTCTTGTAGTTGTCCGCCGTTTGTCCGCGCCTTTTTCTAAAAGAGCAAAGATATCTGCAGATAACTCGAAGACAATTGCAAGACAACTCACAGACAGCTATGGGACAACTCTATGACAACTCGTTAGTTGTCTGTGGGTTGTCTTCGAGTTGTCTGCGAGTTGTCTTCGAGTTGTCTGCGAGTTGTCTGCGAGTTGTCTTCGAGTTGTCTTGTAGCGGGAAGGCAAAAGAGTTGCTGGGTGCTTAGTTATTTCCAGCCCAGCAATTGCAGCCTGGCCTCACGAACAGTCGTTGCGGCGTTCAATTCCAGGTCTCGAAAGACAGCCTCCGTGATTGTCTCCGACATGTACTTGAAGAAGAAAGGTCATCAGAGGGACCTTATTCGCAAAGGCAAGCGAGTGTCTGCATCGAAGTTCATATCTTTGTGCCAGACTCCCAGACGAGGATTCTGCTGTGCGCGGCTGCAAGAGCTTGCTGAACTCAGGCACTTTTTGGACGTCCTGAGGTGTCCAATTCCATGCAGGGATTAGGCTCGCGCATTGCCGCGCGCATTAACATATACGACTATTACATTCAGATCAGAATTTCCGCGAATCCGTGGTCCAGGCGCCTTCCGCGCAACTTCGTGCTGATGCTGAGTCTAGCTTTGCACGGCATCGGAATGCGGCTGTGCGCCAAAAGTTCAAGCCGTGACTGAACGCACAAGGGATGCGGTTTTTTCTGCTGGCCCTTGTGCGTCGGAGACCGGTCGCCAACGCACAAGGCCTCGATTTCGTGCTGCGGGAGACAGGTCTGGCGAAAAGTTCGTTGCGCGTTCAAGGGCCGTCCTCTCTCCCGCAGCACGAAATCGAGGCCTTGTGCGTTGGCGACCGGTCTCCAACGCACAAGGGGCCCCGGCGTTCTCTGGCTTTGTTGTGCGTTCTGTCCGTGTCTTTAAACTTTTCTGCCGCATTTCCGTGTCCGGAGCTGGGCCCGAGACCGGATTCTTTGGTTTGATTGGCCTTTCCGAGCATGGCTGCTGCCGGCCAGTCGGTGGTGCTGACCATCTTCACGGGCGCCGTGGATCCCCTGGTGCTTGCCGTGAAGAAGGAAAAGCTCAGAGCGATCGTTCTGTCCTGCCCGATGCAGAATCTGACAGAAGTTCCGGTGCCCGCGCTTCGCGCCTTCTGAAGCACATCCGTGCGAAGCCTGGCTGCAAAACGACCACGTGTCTCGACTGACTCCTGAAACAATCCGGGCAGAACCAAGGAAGATAACGGATGCAAGGCAGTGTGCAGTGGAAATCCTGGACAATGGCCTGGAACAGGGACTGGACAAGACTGCTCAGGAGGTCACGCTGAAGCTGCTGTGGAAGCAGGACAAGGATGTGCCGTATGCGACCGCATCCCGCTGGGTGTCTCGATGCCTTGCTGACTACTCAGGCGGAAGCAGTTTGCACTGGGGCTTAGAGCCTGAGCCGACGGGCCTGGGCGGTTCTCAACCCGGTGCGCAGGTTGGGCCGATACCCTCGCCAAGTGAAGCAAAAGCTCCTGACATCCAATCGCATCTCGTTCGACAGGTGAAATTGTTGCAAAGGCAACCACTTGAAGGGTACCAAGGCGGTGGCAAACTTGGTGAAGGAAGTTTCGGCCTTGTTGTGAGAGCGAAACGAGCAACCGATAATGATGATGTTGCCATCAAGCTCTTGAAAGACGATTTGGAAGCTTTTCAGGAGGTGGTTTTCGCCACCCAGCTTCAAGATCATCCCAACATCGTGCAGCTTCTGGATGCTGGCATTTGGATGGACAAATCGGCCACTGTGTGGGAACTGGCCTGCAGTTCCGTCCATATGGAGATCGAAAAAACAGGACAACTCCAACGCAACGTCCTTGATTCGGTGGCTTCTTGTGTCACCCAGGGGTTGGCTTTCATGCATTGTTTAGACATTGCCCACCGAGACTTGTCGACTAATAATTTGTTGCTTTTTCCTGAGGTCGTGGCCAAAATTGGAGATTTGGGCGGCTGCGCATGCTTGCGGCCAGGCATGACATCTGGTCTACGGACTTTCGGCCAATGCACGACTTTGCCTTATCGGGCGCCTGAAATCTTGTTTGGGGATGCCTGGCACGTCCGTGTGGATATTTGGGCTTTCGGATGCTGCTTCATGGAGATGTACAAGGGCAGTAAGTTCTTTGCTGTGACCAGCAAATTGGAGCTGCAGTTCCACATCTTGCGCCTTCTCGGTAGCAAGGACATTGCGATCAGTCTGACATGAAATGTATAATAATATCTTTTGGTTTTTTGGCCTGCATCCAGTTTGACTAGAGTTTTCTGATTCCAGGACACAGGTCTGGATCATCTGCCGCAGTGGCCGAGCCGTCCCGCCAAAACCAAGCGGCCCGCCGATCCCTTTGGCTGCGATGGCGAAATGCTGAGTCTTGTCCAGGCATGCATAGCATATCCTTCCAGCCGCCTCGCGAGCGGAACCGCGCTCAATGACCATCCTTACTTCCGAGAAAAGAGCTGTCTGCTTTGAATATAATATTATGCCGTCCATCCACTTGTTTAAAACTGAATGAGCCAAACCAACATAATATCTATAAGTACGGGATGTCGGGTCACCATTCAATCGTACTTTCTTCTTGACTCCGGGCTTGCCCTTGGCTCTACATGGACTATTCAGGTCAAGGTTCTTGGGTCTTACCATGGGTGTGAAATGTTCGGCTGGGGAGTATACTCAAAATTCTTGGGTTTATAAATTAGATATGGCCGTCCATCCACAATATTATATGCATGATTGTGATTATATATGTATTTCTGGTTAAAAAGTTTAAACTTTTCCTGTGTGAAAAACCAGCTGAGTGAGGCTTTAGTTACTTTAGTTAAGTGGTTGTTACATTTCAACATCCTGACCAGTGTTTGTAGTGTAGACATTGCCAGCACACTTGTTGTCTAGGACCTTTGAGTGTATACGTAGCGTTTAGGGTTTCTGTGACGGCCATCAACATTATCGATCTGGCTGTCAGCACCTCTCTGCCAAGCTTCGAGAGGGAGAAGGAGGGTCAAAGCATGATGGCTTTTTTGCTGCAGGACGCCAGAACACTTATAGTAGCCTTATAGTAAGCCTTTTAAGGATCCCTTTAAAGGTAAAGCCCAGCATAAACTCCAAACTCCCAGGGTTGATGAGTCTGAGCCCAGTGGCAGATCCGGGAGGTGTCAAAGCCAAGGCCACAAGCCCTAAGCACCTGCACCCACGAACCCTGGTGTACCATTCCTATCATTAGAGTATAGTATACTTCGTATGAATAAAGTATACTATGAATATGGTATAGCATGAATAAATGTAGTATAGTATGAACATAGTATAGTATGATCAGAGTATAGTATTAATATAGTATCGTCTTATTCTAGATTTTAGGTGGCCCTGATTCTCTTGACTCATGAACCCCGAACCGCCCTGAGACTCCACAGGTCGCTCGTTCTTTGTCGGCCTACGACATGCAGCGCCTTGCCTAAACTGGCCTTGTGCCTTTTGGAGGGCCCTTTTGGGCGGGGTGCTTCGGCTTTCAATGTAACACGTGCATACCTTCACAAAGAAACTCCATACCACAGACATGCACACCTCCATAGGCGCCTACATACCCACAGACATAACTACATACTTGCTGACATACTTATAGACATACATACACTTACGAACGTTTCTGCAGGCATGCAGACTCCGACAATCATGTGTACACGTAGGGTACGTTGCACAACTGTATTCATTATTCGCCATTTACAAATGCAGTTACATGCACTGTAGTGCACCACATGCGGGCTCGTTTGTTCCTCGAAGACCCTTTGAAGCCTAATATAGGGGCCTTGATGAATGATTACCTATGCTATTTGGAGGGTTCCTTATTACAGTTATGGCCCCTACTGTAAACTCCCAGGATCTCTGATGTGACCTATGGCAAAGCTGCCCGCTACGTGACGAAGGAGTTTGCTTCGAAGGGTCTGCGCGCAAGTGAGGTAGGCGCTTGATGGTTGTGCGGATGCAGGGAAGATGAATGCTTGTTGGATTGGATCTTTTTTTATAGATTCTAGATGGCTTGGGTTCTGAATTCGCAAGAGGATCGAGGCTTCTTGCAGTCAGAGTTTTAACAAACTTTGTCGGCAGAGAGCGTTTGAGCTGGTAGGAAGGCAGGATTCCGCCTCGTGTTTGGCGCGCCTCTGTGAAGTTTGTCCTTTGACCTCTCCACCCTGCCCAGGGCGGGGACTGCAAATTAATATATGACTTGTTACTGATCCAATGCTGGCTGAGATACTGATGCTGGTGGTGGGGTGGTGGGGCGCAAAGGGCCGAAAATTGAAACCATAGACTCGAGCTGCCATTTCAGGAGCGACTGGGGCAGATGCTTCAGACGGAGTACGACACTTTGGAGGCAGTGGTTGTTTGTGAAAGAATAGCAGTGTTTGAGATGCATTTCTTTGTCGATGCCGTCATGATTTCGCATAAGTGCTTGTGATGGATACCGCACATTCGGACGCGGAGCATTCTGAAGAGGCTTCAGCTGGTCTGTCCGAAGCTGCAGCTTGAGTGTATTGCAGCTTACTCTGCATCTACAAGGGTGATGGCGACCTCCAATTTTGCTGCGACTTTGTAAGCGTTGCTACGGCTGCTTCGCAGCACACACGGCCATGTACGACATCTACTCGGCGCGACATGCAGATCAACCACGACGCTGACTACTTTAAAGCGATGTTGCTATGCAAGTGCACGAGTCGGGACGGACGTAGCAGCGACAGTCTCGAGTAGCGCTGCTTCCTCGCTGTAGCAGCTTCAAGTGCCAGCAGTTTTTCCTTTGGCCGGTCAGGCCAGCATTCGGGACGAGCCCTGGCTGCAGTCTACCCGGATTGTGGTTTTGCGAATCCGGGAGCCCTAAGGATCTAGCAGTCACTGGTCAAGTAGTGTCATTCCTGTGCAGTCGTGTGAAGCAACAGAGCATGTAGCTTGCCTCGATGTGGCCCAGCAGGCACCTGGCCTCAATCACTTGAAGCCGCATGCCCGACAAAACCCAGGCCCGATTCAGTGGCCCTCCCACTAGCTGTCACTAGCAGACCATTGAAACTCGTGAGATCCCTCCTAAGCCCCTGAGACCCCCTCAACCTAGTAGTAGAGTAGGTAACCTTTATCCTTTTTTTGGGTAGTATAGTCCCCTAGATAATCCCTACATCACCAGAAAGGTTAACCTTTAGTTCCCCATGATACCCGACAAGTAGGTATAAACCCTAAACCCCTCATAGAACCCTTATAGGAACCCTTATAGGAGCCCTTATTCCATGATACCCGACAAGTAGGTCAAGTCACGTAACCAGAGGAGCGGGGCCCCTCCACGCGGTTCTTCGCCTTGGCCACCACGCTGGCAGCGAAGGTTCCGAAGCAGAAGGTATCAACCCAAAGGGTCCAAAGTACCTGTATAGTATAGTAGAATGAGAACCCACAGGGTCCTAAATGTACCGATATAGTAGAATGTAGGGTATTCATGTTAGGAATTACTATAATGACTTAGGGAAATATCCCCCATAACAGTACATAGGACCCTTCGGGGAAGGTATCAGCACTGCCTGTAAAGTATGCAGAGATGACGCAATAGAAGTGATCGTCTTCGATATTTGTAGATCACCATATCATCCCGCGAATGTTCCGCGGTTTGGGAAAGCGAAACGCTGGGTGTTTGGGATGTTGTTGACGCAGTGCTGCCTCTGTCCGATTGTCGTTCAACTGTCTGAATCGGCTATATTGTTTGTCCAGACGATCCTGAACGTGCTCGTCTCGATTGGCCCGCGTCAGAAGCCATCATCCAGAGCGGTCTTCGTGTTGTGGCTGTTTCAGTTGCTGTCTGGAACTGCTGTCGTAGTCGTCGTCTTTGACGTAATGTAAGAAGAACGGTTGCGGCAAGCAGTTGCACGCATATCCATTCTCAAGCCATCCTCCTACCCTTTCTCAGCCTGCAGGCATACATGTCGGACCGAGAGTGCGAAGGATGGGTGGGCATTACCTACCAGCACAAGGCTTCCCAGCGGATGCAGGAAGTCGAAACCCTTCGTAAGCCTTCCTGAAGCAATTCCTTGCATTCCTTGCAACGTGCCGTCGTGGATTCGCTTCCACAGGGACAATGCGGGGCCTTACAACCTTCAGCCCGCAAGTAACCACATCCTAAACACGGAAAATCTGAGCCTTCTGCCAAGCCACGAGCCCTGCAGAGCCAGACCTCCCAGCCTAAACCCTGGAACCCACATAGCCTTTTGGGCACCTTCTCTATTTAGCGACGCAGGCCGGAGCAAAGCCCAGCACTGCCGAATCCTAAGAGCATCGACCTGGGCTGGGTCTAGAATATACGGTGTATACTGTTTAGGGCTTTAGCGCTTTGGGGTCTATAAAGGGTTCAAGGTTTCAAGGTCTCAGGGTTCAGGGTTTAGGGGGTATTGGAGATTGTGGAAAGCCGTCGGGTTGTGACTGTCCTCGTCGTGCGGCGTGCCTCCATATCGTCTAGCTGTTGTGGTCAACATTGCAGCCCATGTGCGCAGGCCATCGTAGAAGAAGTAGTACAAGAAGCAGCAGTAGTCGGCGTTTCAATCCCTGCACTGCTACAGTATAGAAGCACATAAGCAGCAGTAGTAGTAGAAGTAGAGGAAGAAGTAGTAGAAGTTGAAGCAGTTGCAGGAGCAGGCAGGAGTAGGAGTCGGAGGAGGAGGAGGAGTCGGAGGAGGAGGAGGAGGAGGAGGAGGCAGAAGAGGAAGATTGGAAGTAGCAGTGGCAGCAGACATACTCGAAGCTTGCCTTGCCTTTGTTTCAGTGGCGTGGGTACGAATTCTTTCCCGATCGGTTTTGTCCGTGTTTGACAGGCCTGGTCCGAGGTTTCCCAGTTTGGAGATGGAAGCTGCCTAGTCTGAAATGGATTTGTCAGACGACAAGGTGAGAACCAATATAGAGCCCAAAGTGTAGAGGAGTCCCAAATCCAGGAAAGCTCTCGAAATCCTTGTGCTCAACATAACCTTTGTTTCTGTTGCTGTAAATGCCTGTGGTATTTCCACGGCACAGGCTAGACCCATCCCCCCAGCCTTATGATCTAAGTCACGTATACTATACTCCCTGCCCGGCACACCTCTGGCTGAAGGCTTGTGTTTTACCTCCATAAACATCCTCAAGGTCCAGCTTCATGTGCGCATGTGCGACGACACGGCAAAGGCTCAGGGTGAAGCCATCGGAATTCTAGGCGGGGCGTGATTTGGTCCCTTTTTCGTGATCTTGTAAAGGATCCTAGTATTCAGGGTCTATATTGTATATGCGTGCAGAACGGCTCCAGGTGCGATGTGCTAGTGAGGAGAAATGTGCCAGTGCGCATACCCGGCCGCGGCCTGCGGTTTTCTGGCAAACCTCCTTCACAACTGGTGGTACCAACAAGGAGAAGAGTTGCCAACAAGCGATGTTCAGTCTCTCGAGATACGTCGCCGTAGAGTCTTCAATGGTGACCGAACCGGCCGGTTGTAATATAGAGGTCTGACTAATTGGTTGCCAGTGTTCTTCAATACTCAAATTTCCCTGAACATTGATTAGCTGACGATGGTGAAACATAACATGAACTTCAATCCACTCTGTCAGGCACGAACCTGGTCTACCTTTGCAACTTCGCTCGGGAGCGCTCTCAATTTGGCTTCTGCTTCTGCAGTTTTGAGTTCAGGGTTTCGGGGTTGAGGGTTTAGGATTTATATTTCTGGTTTTAGGGTTTAGGGTTTATAATACATGATCTTCAGACGCTTGCCGGGGTGGTTTGCGTCGGGAACGGAGTGTGTTTCGAGCTTTCCCGAACCGACAGGACGAGCACAGTGTTGCTTGATTGCTTGATTGCTTGATTGATCGATGGATGAATGGATGGATGGATGGATTGATGATGATGTGGCTGCTGACGAAGACGATGATGTCGGTGACACTGATGATGACGATGATGAAACATGATGATGAATATGGTAAATGACGATGATGATGTATTGCTCTTGATGATGTCTACAAGAGTGCTGCTGCTGCTGCTGCTGCTTCTGCTTCTGCTTCTGCTTCTGCTGGTGATGTCGTGTTTGGCAGTCCTCTCATTGTCTGTGATTGTGCCCATGTGGTTTCGGTGACCGTGATGTGACGTCATGATTGTGTAGATGCCGGTGGTGCTTGTGATTGCAATGTTGAGCAAGAGGCCCAAGAAAGGTTGGACCACGAAACCTTGCGAACGTGTTTAACCAGGGTGTTCACCATGATGAATCCCACAAGATCAAGAACGTGAAGCTTTACGGTTAGTACAAGTAATGGGCGCTGTAACCGCCGTCGCTGTCGTCGGCCGAACAGCACTCGCACCGGCTGCTGCAGCAATAGCAGTCTTAATAAGCCCCTAAACCCCAAACCGCAACAAAAAGTAGAGGTCGGAGAATGGTACGTCCTGGTACGTGCTACATTTTAGCAAGGCTAAGGCTGGAGGCTAGCATTAAAGTCTTGGGAGGATCCCGTTGTCATCACATCCTTCCTGCTAGATGCCGTCGAGGCTGGAAGACAGACTTGAGGATGGAGCGCGGATCATTTTAGTGTATTTGTGAGTGTTTAAAGGGCTCGCATACTGAATGTCTACACATGGAGCTTTCTCGCCGATGAGATTGATGCTGAACTTGAGACCGTCATAATCAAGTTCAGCAGGTTGTGTGCGCCCTTAGTCGGAATCGCAAGAAAAGATGCCCACTCGTTATGGGTGGTGGCAAGGAACCCGAAGATCCTCCTGACTGATCCCGAGCACGCAACTTCATGCCACCCGGGATGCCAGAACGAAGCCCGAAGATGCGGACCTGAAGCTGCAAAGACAAAGTAGGCCTAAGCTAAGGGTTCAACATCATCACGAGAACTAAGCCTTCTGAGATCCCAATTAATTATGCTCTTGCTTTCACATCCCAAGGAATCTTGTTTCTTGACGCGGAATCAACAATGTCCTAAGCCCCGATGCCTGAAGCCTGGTAGGAAGGATATCACTCGACTTGCAAACAGGATGGCAGGGTAGCCATAGGCCCAATTCTGTCTGCTTTACTCCCCCAGAAGAACCAGTGACTGTGGTCTTAGTTGGGGCTCAGGCCTATACAAACTATAAAGGCCCCTCTATTAGTGAACCCCTAGGGGCGCTCTCAGGATGGGCGCTTGGAGGTGGACTTCGTTGAGTTCACCGGCCCTGCCTTTCCCGAGGACTGCCTCTTTCTGCGTGTTGAGAACTCAAGGGAAACATATTTTTCCCCAATATGTTTAGTGTAGTGCTTTTAGGGTCTTAAAAAGGGGCTATTCGACCTGGCCTACCACAGAAGCCATGACCCCAAACCCTCAGCTTTCCAGCCTTTCAAACTCGACACGGGGGGCTAGTCCTGCATAGAGTCTAGTGCCCTCAGTGTCCTGGTTCTTGCCATAAACAAGTGTCAGAAGCACTGAAACAGGAGACTTTGGATTACCGGCTGCTAGCGATGAAGATGGCGCCTCCCTCAACAGGGTGGATGGTTGTGGTTTGCCAGGTGCATGGAGGGTTGCTTAACAGGAATCGCCTACCACGGTCTTTACCAGCATCATCTCCGTCATGACTGTCGTAACCATCGCCATCATACGAACATCTCCATGAACAGGAAATGAGTTGAACCATCGACAAGAACGTGCACAAGCAACAAGTTGTCGCAGACTCGTGGGCGAGACATTTAGCACGATCCTGCTCTGGCGGCTGCAGATTTAAACTTCTCAGACTGAAGCACAAATCTTGAATTATCTTGCGAACGCGCCTTGATGTGATATTCGCTCGTGTATTTTTCTTGGAGGTTTCGTTTACTTTTGGGCGGGCAGGCCAGCAGCAAATGAGTGTTCCAAAGGAGTTCAGGA